AAAAAAAAAAAAAAAAAAGATAAGGATGACACTTAAATTCAGAATATAAGTTACAGAGTACAGGCCGAAATACCATCAAAGGAGGTGCTCATTAATCTGGGCTGTCCAGCGCGGTGACCACATGTGACTGTGGCACACTTCAAATGTGCCTGCTTGGAACTGAGGTGTGCTACAAGTGTAAAACACATGGCGAGTTTCAAAGTTGTAGTACAGGCCGGGCATGGTGGCACACGCCTGTGATCCCAGTACTCGGGAGCCTGAGGCAAGAGGATCGCCACAGTTCAAGGCCAGCCTGGGCTCCATAGTGAGTTTGAGGGCAACCTGAACTGCATACTGAAACCATGTCTCAAAAAACCAACCAAAAAAAGAGTTTTAGTACAAGAAAAATATATGCATTGTGAGTACACATACATAAATAACTCATTTTTTTACATTGATTATATGTTAAAGTAATGTTTTTAATCCGTTGGGTTAAAGTATATTATTAGAGTTAATTTCACTTATTTCTATTAATATTTTTCATGTGGCTACAGCACTGATTCGTAGTATCTCTTTTGGGGCTCACTAAACCTTAAATATATGACTGTTTTGTTTTTTTGCTGTAGGTTGGACTAGATTTCTCTCCCAGATTTGCTGGCACTGATGAACAGAAGGAAGAGCAAAGACAAGTCCTAATCAGACAGATCCAATTAGCCAAAAGACTAAATTTGCCTTTGTAGGTTAATTAATACTCTTTTACTATAATAGCGATAGACCAAGTTAAATAATGATCCGAGTCCTCCTGAAATGGAGCTCTACATCATTTTTTTCTCTGAATTATTGTATAGAACAGAAGTAAGACTTAAAGCTTTAAAAGTATTAAAAGGAATTTTGTTGTTAAACAGAAATGTTCACTCACGCTCTGCTGGAAGACCTACCATCAGCCTCCTACGTGAGCAAGGTATTTAGCTCCTGAAAGAAATATGCCAATGTTTAAGTGTGACAATGCCATTCATGTTCTCATGGTGAAAGCCATGTTTTAATTTGATTTCTTAAAGGGAAAGGAATGGGGCAAGAGTGGAAGTGGAAATAACTGAGGTGATTTTGCAAATCTGGCTATTTTCACGAAGTCCTCAACACAGTTGTGATCGTTATCAAGCGAGGCCAGACCAACTGAAATGAAACAGTTTATATTGCTTGTCTTAAAAATTCACAGCTCTGATTCCTTAATCACCTTGATTAAAGAAAAGGAAAACAAGGGAGAGAAAGGCAGTCGCATTGGGCTGCTGTTTTGCGTGTTTCCTGGTTGTTCCTTCAGAAAGTGGCATTGTACACATTGTTGACATCATATATAAAACACCGTCATCTTCACCAGTTGTTCCTAAAGTAAAGATATATCCTGCAGTGTAATTTATCACACTTTTAAAAATGCCACCCACAGTAAGAAATACATTTTGAGACACACACACGGAAATAAAACTGACCCAAGTTTTACAAGTGTATAATTGTGTATATGTGTATAGGCATGTTTAAGTGTAGGTATTTGTGTAGATAAAACCACACGTTGGTTGGTTATGACCCACTAAGTTGGTTTCAAGACTCATAGTATCATAACCTACTAATTGTCACACTTACCATTTGAAAAGATACTGCAAAAAAATAAAAATAAATAAAT